TATAACAAAATTCTATTATTTTCCTTTTATTGACACTTACCTGGTCTTATATCACAAATTATGCAATGACTAATATTTGGCAAATATATTTATATTTTACCATTATTGTACTAATTGATTGTGTTTTTGGTTTAGACGTCATGTTTTTGAGATTTAATTTTTTTGTTCTATGATAAAAAACACAGACTAATTGAAGTTTTCTTTTATGATTTATGGTAAATCACGATAAAAAGTTCGCAAATTCATAATAAAAATTTGCCTCAAAAAGATTGAAAAATAAAGTATTTCACAAATATTGAATAAATGTGTATTATCAAAAAAAGATCATATAGTAAAAATTCTAAATGTGTAATTAGATTAATTAATTGTGATCTATATAATGTATGCGTGCATTAATTTCTGCTTGAAGAAATAGCTTTTGCGCAAATAATTGCTTAAAAAAAATTTCTGCTAATTAAACATTACTTGGACACATGCATACACCTGTCCAGAATGCTCATATTCAATTACCTTTTTTACATCCATTTACAGCAATATGGATACTATATATAATGAATAAAAAAAATATCAAATTTTTAACAGGTCCTATTATTTTATAAAATAGTCACGTGATATACATTTAGTGATTAGATTATCATATTAAAGGACTGAAAAATTTCTTGTACATGCAAAACTTGGAGGGTGCATTTAACTTTTAAGTCTCAAGCTTAGGATCAGAACATTATGTGTATTTAAAGAGGGTATGCATTTATAGAGGATGCATTTAAAAAGGTCTGACTATACATATAAATTGTATACTTTATAAAATAAATAAGTCAAAGTTATTTCAAAAGAAATTTTATGATTCTTAAAAGTCATTATTTCAAAAAGAAAGAAAAAAAATGTTAGTAATATTCTTTTTCAAAAAAGAACTCTATTACATCTAAAAATTACTTTCTAAGATCTAATCAGAGTCAATCTAGGAAAAATTCTATAATCTAAAGGTTATAAGCCATTCCTATAGAAAAGAAATAAAAAAGAATATTAGTAACATTCTTTCTCAAAGAAAAACTCTATTACATCCAAAAGCTACCTTCCAAAAGCCAATCCAGAAATGATCTAAGAGCAATTCTATGAGCTAAAGATTTTTAGAAGCCATTTTTACAAGAATTTATTACATCCAAAAGCTATTTTCCAAGAATTAATTCAGAGCTGATCCAAAAGAGATTTCATAATCTAAAGATTCTTAGAAGATATTTCTACAAAAAAGAAATAAAAAAAATGTTAGTGACTTTCTTTCTCAAAGAAGAACCCCCATTCTATTCAAAACTTACCTTCAAGAAATGATCTAATTCTAAAATCCAAGGGTTCCTAGCTGTTTCTACAAAGAGAAAAGAAAGGAAAAGAACATTGGTAACATTTTTTAATAGAGAACTTCATTCACTTAAAACTTATCAAAAGATAAGTTTTCAAGAAAATTCAGAATCCAAGAAGCCGTTCCTACAAAAAAAAAAGAAAAAAAGAGGGAGAAAAGGGAAAGAGAAAGAGAGAAAGAGGGAGGAAGAGAGGAAGAGGAATGAAAAGAAAATTAAATAAAATGAATTTCTCCAAACAGCCAGTCAAATCGATTGTTTACATAATCATTCAGCATATCACGCAAAAAGATCCTGCACTCCGCTAAAAATAATAAAAAAATTAATGTAATTAAAAAAAAAATTGAAAAAAAAATTAAGCCGTTAGTCATGGTCGGTGAATTTTCATGAACTTCTAGAATGTCGATCATTTGACGATCATCACTGTATTTAGGAATTCCATATTTGGTAAAATTATAATAAAAAAGAACAGGGGAGGAAAGACGACTAAAAAAAGTAAATTAAAAAATAAAAAGATCGCGGGGGTAAAAAAATTTAAAAAAAATATTGAAATTAAAAACGATAATTAAAAAAAAAGAAATTAAAAAGATCGGGAGGAGGAAAAAACAAAAATAAAAATTAAAAAAAAATTAAAAAATTAAAAATTTAAAAATAAAAGATCATGGAAGGGATAAAAAATATAATAATAAAAAAAAAATTAAAAAAAGTTAAAATTTAAAAATAAAAAGATCGGGGAATAATAAAAAAAAAAATTAAAAAGATCGGGGGGAATATAATTAAAAAAAAAATAAAATGATCGAGGGATAAACTTTATCTAGACCGACCGTTACGAACAAATAATTAAATAAATTTTTGTCACTTGAAAATCATAAATTGCTAATTTTACTAAAAAAATTATTTCGCAGGTCAATCTAGACAGGGGGCCCCAACCATTATAATCTAGCTTTCAAGTCGATCTAGACAGTAATCATAATCTCAACAAGCTATTTTATACAGTTAAGTAAACCAACTATCATAATCGCAAGCCGATGTTATAAATATATGTTTTGCTAAGTTTATATAGGGCTAAAAATTGAATGTGTGAAAAATTATGGGATTCAAAGTAGTATAAATAGATCATCCAAAACTATGTCACGTTATTTAAGTCATGTTATTTCAATATTTGATTTATTTAAGTCACGTTATTTTCAATATTTGATTTATTCACGTAAGATCTTTTTAAATCGGTGTTTATACCTTTTATAAAGAAAAATTACACGGCAATAAAAAAAAAGTTAATACATGATAAACCATCGAACCTACCAACAGAAGTATCTTGGGGAAATTTTCTTTTTTGCAGGTATTTTTAATATATATCGTTTCGACTTTTATCGATTTTACAGATATATTACAGATTATTAGATATCTAATCTAGCTTCATATTCTTTAAAAACAGGTCCATTCTAATATATTTGACGATTCATTCATCCATTATTGTGAAAAAAAAAACTTTATGTTGTTAGTTAATTTGTAGTTTCATCTTTTTTAATGTTTACCTTCGGATTCTTTCGTTCCGGGCAGTAGAGATAGAATGATTTTGTTTTGATTTATTTCAAAAAATTATTCATCCTTAAAAATTAAAAATTAAGTTCGTCTTGCTCAGGTCGTTTCAGGTATACGCAGCACGTGTATTTTCTTTTTAATTTTTTTTTACTTTTTGGGTTCGATCGGTTTGATCGCTGGTCGCAACGATCAAATATTTTATTTTCTCCTCATGATTTATCATTCTTCTTTTTCTCAAGGTTTTCTTTCGCGTTTGATCACTTCGGAAGGAATGTTTTTAACACTCCGTTATTATTTATTTTTTTTCTCAGATATTATTAATATAAAGAAAAATTATTTTATAGCTAACCACATGCTGTGCAAAAAAAATAGATTCGATTTATTTATTCGATTTTTGATTAATTCGATTATGGTAGAATCGATTCCAATAGCTTTAGAAGTGCCAGAATTATGACTATTATCATTTTTATGCGTATGCTTTAGTATTCCAGTATCACTAAATTTTCCAAGATGCATTCAATTGTTCTTGATGGGACATTGGTTTTATTTATGAATTATTTGGAGGTGAATATATTCTAGAGAAACGAACTGAATCCACCTTTATAGGACGGTTCAGAACCTTGAAACATTGAACCGACCGAAGGTAATTGTATAATTCGTTTAGTAATTTTTTTAAGTATTTATTTTTTAAAAAAAAAATTTCACATTAATATGTATATCGATCCTGTATATTTGTTTGATAGAACCTTGGGACCTTTGATCAAAGGTAAGTCCTAATGGAAATATATATATATACACTTTTTATTTTAAAAATAAAACTAATATTATAGAACCGGTCCGGAATCTATAAACAATGGAATCTGGGATCGGAGGTAAGTCTTAACAAAATAATCCGTTAGTTATTTGTTAATTATTATAAAAAAAAATTCTTACATTTACAACTCATCTTTGTAGAGCGGCAGATCTTTGAAATTTAATAGAGGTATGTTCTAATGGTTAATTTACGATTAAATTTGTATTTTTTTTTTTTTTTATTAAAAACTAACATTAATACTAATAATACTACATACCTTTGTAAACTGATCTGGAACATTGAAACCTTGGAAATTGGGTCGGAGATAAGTCCTAATAATTCGTTGGTTATTTTTTGTATTTTTATTTTCTAATAAATCGTGACATTTTGTAAAGGGAAATCAACTTTTTGAAAAATTATTTCATGTATATATAAAATTATAATAACATAATATCATAAAGTATTGACTTTATAGTATTTTTTTTAATTTCCTTTTTCAATATCAGAAGATTCACACTGAGTACTTGATTAATTTCCTCTGCCTTTAACTTTGAGCCCTGCTTTTTTTATTGGATAGTATGCTTAATATTCTTCCCATAGAATATCCGAAACTAAAAACTTCAATAACTTGTTTTTTAGCAATATTTAAAAGAACACACAATAACATGATAGATAGATATTAATGTATGTTGTTTTTTTTTTAGAAAAATCAAAGTGTCATATTAAAGAGACAGTTATTCGAAGTCTTCTCGCAGAAATTGAAATATAAATAATAAGAAGAGTTCAAAGTTATTGAATAAAAAATTACATCGATGTTATTAAAAAATTTATTAAATTTATTATATATAACGATTTTTCATCTAAAGTTGATTACAAAATCTTAACGACTTGATAAAGTTTGTTGAGTTATACCCACTGCATTATGTGCATTATGCATAACACTTAGTATTTTTCAGGAGATGAAATCATATTTGTCACTGTTATATCTTAAGTCCCTCAGTTAATTAATGAAAATAAATACAGAGCGATAAATCAAACATTACGTAATTGTGACATTTTGATAGTTCTTCTGGTAAGTTTATTAATGCCATAGGTGTTGCGTATATTCTATACCAATAATATTTTTTGAAGTGTCAGCTTAACTATTTAGAGCCGAAAAAAGATTCACTTCGGAAAATTATGTATTTTCATGTGGAGATAATATCGGGTTTTAGGTAAATAGTAAACTTTATCTTTATTTACGCATGATGTGTCTTTGTTATATAGTTAAGATTAAAAGCAAAATATTTTCTTCATAAGATATTCCTATCAACCTAATTCTTTATCTCTTTTAATGGCTCAGCCGTTGCTAACGCTTCCTTTGAAACCAGTTTCTTCATCAATGATACATCTCTTATTTGGGTGTTCGCAAGACCTTCCATAATATTAATTCCCAAAATCGACATTTCTTTTGTCATTTCACACCACGCAAATAAGATACCACGATCATGTGAAATAATATAACCATTCTATAATAACCTACAAACAGTGGGTGAATATTGGTGATGCCAAATGAATAAACGAAGTATTTCTTATATTCTTCATCAATTAACATTTTATCATTAGATTCATGGAATTCCTGAAACTTTTCATCATTCTTTATTGCATCAAACAACTCTGACAAGCTTGGCAATTTCGGCATTGCTTCTTTATTTTCATTTTAAATGAAATCGTTCGAGACTTTATAGGGAGATCATGTCTCTGGCATAAAAGTCCAAGCAAACATCTCCACGCAAATTCCGAACTCCCAAAATATTTATAAGTCAGTCCTAGGACCGGTCCTAAGACCGGTCTTGTACCATTCGGTCCCGGTCCGGTCCAATATTTGTTTTCTTCTCGAACCAGACCGATTTATAAGACTGGCTCAAGGATCGGTTTAGAACATACTAAGACTAAAAAAAATATAAATATAAAATGTTCAATTTAATAAAATAATTGTATAAATTAATAAATAAAAAAATATAATAAAATAATTGCATACGAAAGTATTATCGCGCCTACTTAATCCATATTCGAAATTTTCGTTTCTGACATTATCGTTACAGTAAAATATTAGGACAGGTCCAAGAACTGACTATGGAAATGAAAATCGGGTCGAATTTGTAATATTTTATAAATAAAACAATTTTATTTAGTATTTTATAAAATTAACCTTAATTTAAAATAATACGTTATAAATAATAAAGGACCGGTCCGGACCGGTCCTCAGAATATAGACTATGGACCGCAAGGACCGGTCCCATTAACCGGTCTAAGACGGTCTTATCAGGACCGATCCATCCCTAGTCCCGAGGAAGAATATATTGGTCGTTCTCTTGTCGGATTGCGGCCAATCGATTCTTTTGATTCCTGTTGCGAGCTGTAATTGATGCACCAAACGCAACGTTGATAATCTTTTCCTGACTTGATTTCCAGGAGACATTGATTGTTCTTTGTTGCCTCCAATGATTGAGTTCCATTATTTTTATCCATTGAGCAATTTGATTGAGATGCCGAAAAAGAAACTTTACTTGACTCAGATAAGTGAATTTTATTGTCCCTTTCTACTTGAGACATTTCTTTAGGAGGAAATAGTTTTTCTTTTTCTTATTGATATTTTTTTTCGTGTAAAGGTAACAGAGAGCAGCCCATGGGGAGGTTATGTTATGGTGATTTTTGCTCCATTCTCTTTCATAATTATTGGTTCTGGACAATTGGTACGGTTGATAATTCGTTTGTTTCTCCTAATGTGCATTAAAGAGCAAACATCAACATCATACCATGCATGAATAAAACCAAACATTGAGACATACCTGTATGGCAGAAGATATCGCTTGTAAGCTCTCTTTCCCTTGTAGCTCGTCTTCCCATGAAATCCCAGATCTAGGTGAATAATACTTAAAAGAACAAACCGTCATAACGAATAACGCTTTTACTTTCAATAATCTTGATTCTAAGGAAGTAATGGACGCTAAACAAGGTAGGTAATTTTAGCTATTTGTTACGTAAAAAAGAAAAAGAAAATTTCTTCTATGATACTTGATTGAATAAAATTTTTTATTTAGGTATCAATATTAACCTTGGTAATGCACCGCGAAAATTTATGTTTGCAAGAAAAAAAATGTTTGCCCTGAAAAAAATTTTACTTATATCAAAAAATTTGAAGATCAAATCAAATCAAATAAACGGATCAACAGATTAAAAAATTGTTCCTTAAGAATATGGTGGCTCGCAATTAAATCAGGTTCAGATATTTAACTCGATATTAACGGGCATTCATCCAACTTTTAAAATATAACTAAAAGAAACTAAAGAAAAGGATGCGATTCTTGGAATAATCGTTGAGCAACTCTCCAATTCTGTAAAATAGAAGTATAAGAAATAGATCAATATTAACCTTGGTAAAGCATTGCGAAAATTTATGTTGTCCGCATGAAAAAATTGTTCGTTTGCAAGCTCTGAAGTCGCTTTCCTGAAAAAATTTAACTTTATTTACACACATATTATACCGTTTTTATTATGGTTTGTCATGTCAAATCAATAACTAATAAGTAAAGTAAGTTTATTATTTGACGCGTAATGAGTTAATTGATCGAATATTTTAGAACAAATTTATTCTAGACCTACACACTTTGTTATACATGGGTATATATTTATCCTGATCTAGGGCATAGGCTATTAAACTGACTGTAGGGTATTCAATTCTGATGGATTACTTTTTGATGCACTCAAAATTAGACAATCATGGATACTAATTCACATATTGCAAGAATTAAACAAACTCTTCTTTCACTCTACTAGTTTAATGCTTCATATTTATTTATATTTATATTTATTATTACAAATGAAAATTCAATCACTTATTTTATAGGATTGTTTTTATTTTATTAAAAATATAATTAATCTTTGTTTAAAAGCAAATTAATTAAAGATATTAGAAAATAAATTGGTTTAAAATAACATTTTTTTTTTACTAATAAATTTGCTTAATCAATTCTTAAATGTATAGTATTTTTTATTAAAAAATTTCAATATTTACAAATTTAAACATATTATATTAAAGATTCTAAAAATAATTTTATATTTTTAATTAAAAAATCAATAAATATCATTAAAATCTTTTACAATTTATTACTTATTATTTTTTAAAAATTTTTAATGTTATAAATATTTAATATATTTATCATAGTATAAAAAACAGCTGCTAAAATTTTCTTATTTAGTATTCTATTATATCATTAAATTTAATAATAGCATTTATTTTATATTTTTAGAATAATATAATCTATAAAGTCCCAGCTAAATGATCATTAAAACACTTGCCAAGTATATACTTTTTAGTTATAATTTACTAGAAAACTTTGCTTGTAAATTTAATTTCATAATTCTAAATTATAAATTTAGAATTAAGAATAATGAATCTAAATCCTAAATCTAAGATAGAGTATCTCACCCATCCTCTTTCCTAATTAATTAATTGTCTATTTATTTATTTTTTTTTGTTTATATTTTTATTTATTTTAATTTGGTTTTTTTTGAAAATAAAAAATTGTTACATGCTTATCATATAATAATATATATAATAAATAAACAATTAAATAAAAGTAAAATAAGTTAATAAAAAAATCTCATTATTATTCAAAAAAAATAAATAAAACATTTATTTAATTTAAATTAAATAAATAGATTGTATTGTAAAAATTAATTCTATAATAAATAATATTATATTTTAAATGCATAATGATTTAAATAATAAGAATCAAAAAAAAAATAAGGGTTAGACAAGTTAAAAATATATATAATAAAATTTCTGAAAACTTTAAAGATAGCACTTAAAAAATCTATTAATGATAAAGATCTTAGCTTTTATAATACTATTAATCCAATAGATTATTAATAATAACTTACTTAACAAATAAATAAATTTAGATTTATAATAATATTGATAATATAAACAATATTGAGAAAATTCTTCCACTAGAATTTAAAAATATAAGACTAAATAGCAAATAAAAGAATTAAATCATCTATTAAAAGTAGTAATAAATATAAGACTGTTTTGTTAGGTAAAACTAATATGATAGATATATTATTATAAGAAGATGCTAATTTAAACTAAGAAATTAAAGCATTAAAATAAAAATAATTTGTAAAAGATGTTATAAAATAGGTCACTATATAAAATTTGTACTACAGATTTATTCTTATTTTAGCATTAATTATATTGATATTTGATTATCATATACAAAAATGTATAAATTATTATTGATTATGACTTAAATTACTACTAAAATTTAAGCTAGTCAGCCTGAATTATAATTGTAATTAATCTAATTTCTTTCAATTGTTAAATTTTACCTTAAATCATTATTATACTTATATTAATAAAAAAGATATAATTAAAGAGTATACTTATAATTTATTCACAAATAAAAAATAGTTTTCAAAAAATTTTTTATTATTATCCCTTAAACTGTAGAGCAGGCAAATTTTCCTATGAATATAAAAAAAAAGTATTAATTTTTTAATAAAAAATAAAATATTAATGCTAATAAAATAATTATTATATAAAAAATATAGTTTAATATATATTTTATCAACTTTATTAGAAGAAATTTAAGTTTATTAAGAAG